CCAGCATATTCCTTATTCCTGTGTGGCTGTACTAAAAAAAAAAAACTCTTATTCTTTTTGTGTCTCTTGGAAACTTTTGTCTGACTTTCATACCATACATAAGGAGAGACCAATCCTTGGAAAAAGACATCATGCTTGGTAGGGTGGAGGGACAGCGCAGGAGGGGAAGGTCCTCTATGAGGTGGATTGATTCAGTGACAGGGGTAATCAGGATGGGAGTGTCAGAGACGGTGCGATTGGCACAGGACAGGGCAGAGTTTAGGGCTGTTGTACATAGGGTCGCTATGAGTCGCAAGTGACTCGATGGCACATAACAGCAGCATGTATGTATGTATGTATGTATGTTTGTAATGTATGTATGTTCTTGTGTTCCTCTGTATCATTTCAGATGAGATTGTTCAGTGTTCATCACAGCAATTATGTATTACATGTTAAACCACAGAGAGGAATGGAAATGTTTACATGATACCTAACCTTTAAGTATTTAAAAGCAGGTAAAGATCAAATTGTGAATTATACCTTTAATAGGAGATGTGGTCAGTCAGGCAGTTTTTAGGGCCCTCTTGCCACACAGGTTGACACGGAAACAAATAACTAAGTGTATTTCAGATGTGTTGATATTTGCTTCTGCTGACAAATGAACACTAAATTTGTAAAAGCCTCTACTTGCTGTGCTTTTCCAATTTCTTTTGTAATTGGGTTGCTGTGTTTTCTTTTCCAGGATGGAGCTATGACATTGAAGAAAGAAAGGTTCCAAAACCGAAGTCCAAGTCGTATGGTGCAAACTTTTCTTGGAACAAAAGAACAAGGGTATCCACAAAATAGATTGGCACTGACTATATCTCTGTACTTGACTGTGAATAAGGTCAGCTGTGTGGTATTTATAGTCCGTGTATAATGCATCTCTTAATCTCCTAATAAATTTGGACTTTAAACTACATTTTATGGTGTCTATTTAAAATGTTGGGGTTTTTAATCTCTCAAATGTGTTGCAAATGTCCTATGTATAGTGAATATTTGAGGTGATCATACCTCTAGGAAATTCAGTACTTAAAAATCTATTAAAAGAAATGTTTGAAATAACATAAACATTCAGCCCTCAAAATGAAAATACTGTCTTTGAAAATCCTGTCCTTTTATTATAAGAAGTACTTGAAGTTACAGTCTGATAAACCTTAATCCTAACTTAATTATTGAAGTTCTTTTATTTAATGAGAACCTTATAGTCTCTAAAGTAATTTGAACTTGAATTAATTGTGTTCTACATTAATTTCTTTCCACAAACCAACACAAATTATAATTGTGAGGGATTTATGTAAATAGTTTTTTGTTATAAACCAGAAAAACAGGGAAAATGAAAATAACTTTATTGTTGGGGCTTATTTCTGTGTTAATGTTTATTTGTTGAAATAGAAGCTGATCATTGTTTTCTGTTGTTTGTCATAATGTATGAGTTACTGAGCTCATACGTCTCTCAGGCTTGTCAATAGTACTTAGTTTACTAATCCTCACAGTAATCCTGTTTGTTGGTGCCCTGGAGTGGATTATGACTCATAGTGACCCTATAAAGAAAAAACAGATCAAAACCATGCTTCCTTCTGTCTCATCCTCCAACGTTCATCATACTCACTGTGTTGCAGTCCTGTGTCAGTCCATCTCAATGAGAGTCTTCTCTCTTGACCCTCTACTTTCCCAAGGCCTGTGCCTCCAAAACTAAGTATATCAAGCTAGAGGGGTTAGATAACTTGCTTAAGGCCACCTGTTCCTCAGGGACAAAGTTGGGACTTGAACCCAACTTCTTTCTGTCTTCAAAGACTATCTTCTTAACCATTTTGCTTATAAAGAAATAGAATTGATTAATGCTAGATGGTTTCCATGATTGCTAATATGTATGTTCTGCAGTGCTTTAAAAAATATATTTGCATTTTATAAAAATTCATTAATCCAACCTAATTTAAGGCCGAAGAAAATACATTAGAGTATAAAATTTTACAGTCTTGTTTTAGAAAGCATATAAGCAGTCTTAAAAATATTAACTGTATTCTCCATCTAAAGCTAAAAGATCCTCTTCTATGCAAATAGTCTATATAATACACAAATGAACATTTATTGCAGAATTACTTCTAATAGCTAGTAAGCTAAAACAATAGTAGTGTCTGTTTAAAAAGAAATGGTTAAATGGCCAGTTATTTTGTAAAAAATAAGCCACAAGAAATGTGTGTCCAGAAAAAAAGAAGAAATGTGTGTACAAGTTGATTTGGGATGTTCTTCAAGGTACACCATTAAGAGAGGACTGGGAACCCATAAACCAAAAAGAATAGATAATATTTATGCATGTAATACTGTGAGTGTGTGTGTATATGTGTTTATTTTCCTGGGAAATTTTGGGAACACATTAAGAAACTATTAATAGTGATTTTACTGGTTACTGTTGGGTGGGAAAAGGGAGAAGACAATTTTATAATTTTTGTGTGTGTGTGTGTGTGTGTGTTTTGACAATTTTATAATTTTGTTGTTGTTTAGCTCTTTAAGTGTTTTAAAAATCTAGGTAACAAAATGGTTGGTGATTAAATGATTTTTCACACATACAGTTCAGTGAAACAAATTACACCAGGCATGTCATCCAACCATTACCAACACCTACTGCCATATTTTCTGTTGCTATAAACATAAACACTGAATACTAGCGAGCCAAAAATTCCTTTCTTTCTCCTTCTCTCCAGTTCCTAAGACCACTATTAACCTCTGTATCTTTGTTTTTATAGACAAAATTTTTAAAAAATGCATTTGTCAAATCTTTTTCGTATTAGTGAAATTGTATAGTATTTATTGGTTTTGTGATTTATTTCACTTAGCATATTATTTTCAAGGTTCATCTAGGCCGTGACATTTATCAAGACTTCCTTTTTCTTTATTATTATTATTGTTGTTAGGTATGATCGAGTGTGACTCATAACAACTCTGTGAACAACAGATCTGAACCTTGTCCCATCCTGTGCGATCCTCATCATTTCTGACACACCTGAGCCCATTGCAACTCTCACTGTGTCAGTCCATCTGCTTGAGGGTCTTCCTCTCCTTTGCCAACCCTCCGTCTTGTATGATATCCCTCTCCAAGGAATAGTCTCTCCTAACAACATGCTCAAAATATGTGAGATGAAGCTTTATCATCCATAGAGTACTCTGGATAGTGAATCTTTAGTAATAGAATTAATTAATATATTGCAATTAATATATATTATAATTAATATGTTAATAGAATTTATGCCTTTGATCTGTAGTGCTGGAGAAGAGTTCTAAATATTGGATGGTCTGCCACATTAACAAACAGATAATGTCTTGGAGACATTGCGACCAGAGTGCTCCTTTCTCTTTATAGCACAATAATATTCCATTTTGTGTATATAGGGAGTTTTTATGGCCTGGTGGTAAGAAATTGCACTGCCAACCCAAAGGCATATAGTTTGAACCCACCAGCTGCTCAGAGGGAGAAAGAGGGGACGTCTCCTCCCATGTGATTTTTCAACCTCTGAAAACTGCTGTTAGGACAGTTGTAAGTTGGTTCCAGCGCAGAAGCTCAAGGCCACAACATGTGAATATATCACATTTTGTTTGTCCATTCCTCTAATGGAATGTTTCCACCTTTTACTTACTCTGAATAGTGCTACAGTGGACTTTTTTTTTAAATTAGTATCATTGCTTTCAAGTCTAGGAATGAAGTGTATTTCATTTTGGTTTGATTGACATCTCAAGTATTCATGTTGAGCTTCTTTTTACATGGTTGTTAGCCATTTGTATAACTTTGGATAAAATGTCTATTCAGGGGCTTTATTAACTTTTTAAATGGATTATTTCTCTTTTTAAGTTATTGTTGTTACATATTGTCAAGTCAGAACCAAATCATACCTGACTCTCCAGCAGGTTTTCCGAAGCAGCTGCTCACAGAGGAGGAGAGTGCTCTTCCTTCTGCAGAGCAGCTGGTGAATTCAAACCAGGTGCTTTTGGGATTGCAGCGCAACGTATTACCACTGGGCCACCAGAGCTCGGGTCCTTGGTTAACTTTGCAGTTGAATTGTTTCCCTTGCTAAATTGTTGGAAGTACTTTATATATTCTGGATGTTAGACTGTTGTCTAATAGGTAACTTCCAAAACTTTTCTCTCATTCTGTAGATTATATCTTCACTTTATTTATAAAGTCTTTTGAGGTACAAAGTTTTGTGGTGTTTTTTTTTTTCCAAATTCACCTTTTTAAAATTATTTTCTTTTTTTTTATTATTATTAAATTTTATTAGTTTCAATGACCATTCACAGGGATTCTGGGCTTTCACTCCTTCATTGCCGCACCCTTCTCTCCACCCTCCTCCCCAGTTTGTTCTTCTTTCCCGCCATCCGAATGTCTGTTTTAATTGTCCAATTGCCACAGTGCTTGTCAAAGTCAGTTCTGATTAATCTCCTTTGTCGGTGTGTCCTTTGCCATTCCCTATCACTCCTCCCTGAGAGAGACTTCACCCTGAGTCATAAGGAAAAGGGGATGGCGTATTCTCTTAGCTACTTCCTGCTGAAAAGGGACGCTGTGGGTTTCAGGGTGAAGATCTTCTCTCACTACTCTAAAGGGCCCCTTTGGCAGTAGGAAACACATAGACTATTATGGAGATTGATTTTGGAATTTAGATGCACTCTTATTGATTGTGCTTGGCCGTACATGTTCATATCCTTGAAGATGTATCATGGGGGTGTTGCAACCTAGAAGACACAAATTTGACTAACAAGTTACAGAGATTTTGTGTTTCCATTCATTCATTGTTACACTTTTCTCCCTGCCCACCCCACCCTCACCCCCAGTTCGCTCCTCTCTTTGAAAAGCAAAAGAAAAACTTCATTGGTATATAATCCCCCCGCACCCTCCCCACGCCCACCCCAAGTATACGCCACTCTGCAACCTTCATTCTGAACTTTTATGATAATCATAATGCCCTAAAATACATTACTTTTAAACTGTTCTCTCCCTCATCGGTTTCAGTGCAGCATACATAATTCATCCAGTTTTTTTCATTCTTACCCTAACCCTGATGCCAGTTCCATTCTTTTTTTTAATAATTTTAATGAACATTTACAGAGAATTTGGATTTCCATTCATTCATTGCTGCACTTCTCTCCCCACCAATCCCTCCCCCCACACCCCAGTTCGCTCCTCTCTTTCAAAAGTAAAAGAAAGACTCCCTCCCTGGTACACAATCTCCTCGCACCCCTCCCACCGCCCCAAGTACATTCCACTATGCAACCTTAATTGTGGACTCTTGTGATAACCATAATACTCTATCATACATTGCTTTTAAATTATTCAGTCCCTCATCTGTTTCAGTGCAGTATGCACAATTTATCCAGTTTTTCTCAGTCTTACCCCCACCCTGATATCAGTCCCATTTTACAGCAGTGGCACCATGCAATATTTGTCCTTTTGCTACTGAGATATTTCACTCAGCATAATGAGGTACAAAGTTGTTAATGTTAAAAGATACTGTATCTATTTTGTCCTTTGTTGCCCTAATCCTTTAGTGTTGTATCTAAAAATCCATTGTTAACTATTAGGTCTTAAATATTTTAGGTTTGAGTAAACTAAATATATAATTATGTTGTTGTTGTTGTTAATGTGCCATCAAGTCACCTGTGACCCACAGCAACCTTGTGTATAGCAGCTCTGAACCCTGCCCTGTCCTGAGCCAGTCTCGTTGATTCCAACACACTGATCCCCATTGCCTAGTCACTGTATCAATCCATCTCATTCAGGGTCTTCCTCTCCTGTACTGTTCCTCAGCATATATTATTTTTGTTTTGTTTTTATTAATTTTAATGAACGTTTACAGAGACTTTGGATTTCTATTCATTCATTGTTGCACTTTTCTCCCTACCCCTCCAATTCGCTTTTCTCTTTGAAAAGTA